CGCAGTGAGTAGACAACATCTATCTTCAACTGTGGTGTAAATTTCCGACTCCTAGCTGATCATGGTCGTGAGCTATTAATTAATTATTATTAATGGTATTTTCATTAATTAACTCATATCTCCGTCAAAAAGGCGCATGGGCCCAAACCAACTTGGGATTTTTCACTATTGACTATTCCCTACATGATGAAAATAGTCTGAGTCTAAAAGCTTTTAATCACCTCGAGAGGTTCCCTCGTAAGACTATTTTCATTAGCTAAACTGTAGTGACTGAGGTGAACTTTATGAGAGGCCGCGTAAGGCTCAACATTGGCGAGTAATAAAGTTTTCAAAATATATCTCATAAGGGACTGACTCTAACAATTTGCAAAATCTTGGCCGTAAAACATGAATTATCATCCAAAGCTGATATTTCTTCTCAAAATTTATGGTACAATTATTTGTACCAGGCCACAGTTCCTAAACTATATACACCGCTGAAAGAATTGATAGGGATCAGTGTGTTACATATGTTCTGATTCGGGCTTATCCAATGAAAACAATCTTAGCTCAAAGCGATACCGAGGAATGTTCTCTCATTAGATTAGCGCATTATGAGGTTTTAAGATCGTTTGTCAAAATTTTCATACATGTTAAGCCAAGACGCAAATTAGTTTTTTTCTATCGTGTAGTAGACTGCTAAGAGACCAAGCGATATCTATCTGTGGTTTTCAATTATCTAGTCGGCAAACATTTTCTTTTCGAATAGAAAACAGATTTGAAGATGTTATCTACGTGTTGCAATCCAAAATTCCTGATCATTTGTTTCTTTAGTTTTTTGACAACCGGTCGACCTTCAACTGACAATGTTCAACATATTGAAAGCACTGTTGAAAGAGATCGAATGAAAAATTTCCGACGACATCAATTAGAGGACGACACTGATATGCGTACCATGATTCGAACGAGTCGACCATATGTTCATTCGGAATTCAATCAACCGGAGTATTCGCGAAATGAGAGCAATAATTCTTGTGAAGCTGTACCCGCTGCCAATATGATACGTTATAAAGATCAATTCTATTTAATTCCGCTCTATGTTGACAGAAATGTTACGCTAACTGATACAATGATCGATCAAGCTAAGCAACTCGCGTGGGTACTGGCTGGTCTCTCCACATGCGTCTTTAAGATGCCTGTCGAAACGATGCATCTCTTTCGTGATATTGATAGTGGTAAGTGTACGCAAGAACTGATGCAATCCATTCAACCTTTTTCTCTATTTAGCTCGTATCGCTTTCAACAGCAATGGCGCATTGTTTTTCAATCTTCGCTACTTCGAACAGGTATTTGCCGATGATCTCAAGCCGCATCTTCAAAATTCATCATCATTATCTAGTCCAATTATTCGCACCATTGTCAATTTCTATTTCATGGTCACTTGTCACGAACTATCTCATAACATCGATTCGACTCATGATTTAAATTTTATCAGTCGTCTCGAACGAGTATCTGTCAGATTTATGGATGAGAAAGATGCGTTTCTCGTCAAATTTTCTTTCAATAACTATTTGTAAAATATTCATATGATTATGGTTGTCGTTGCTTTTTTCCTTTATTTTATTATTCTTTTTGACAATGTCATATCAGTGCAATACATTCTTGTATATGCTATGTCAGTTTTATTTTGAAAGGAGAAGTTTGTTGGCCACTTGATCTATAATATTCCAGGAAGATCTGACATGTTTCTCTCCAGTTAAGCGAGAACAGATGGATAATCGAAGGATGAAGACGTTCCTTGATTTCATTCGAACAATTCTTTAGACAAGAGCATACCAGGTCGCTTATGACCACAGCTGGGAAAACGATTTCGAAACGATCATCTTTGCTAATTAAGCCAATAAAAGAATTGAATCTGTTCAAAAATCATATAGAAAAAAACACTTTTGAATCGCACAAAACAAACAAGGGAATACTGTATATCATTAAATCTCTATTACAATGAAGTTTCGTCAGAGTTTCATCAAACCCAAATTTCGTTTGTATTTCGATCGCAGCCCCTTGTAAGCGTCGTTTAGGAGACGTTTCCATTTCTGCAACGGTTTACCTAACTTCCACGAGTTAACTCAAGTATATTTAGTAAACTTTAGTTTATTAAGCTACTAGAGCCACAAGAGAGAAAATGTTATACAAATTTTCCCATAAATTCTCAAACTAATTATCAGCAATGTTTTTCAAAGTAATCGATACTCAATATAGCAAACGATCATATTTGTAATTTCATTCCTAAGTATCGCGGTTAAACATAGTAACGGCAAAAATAGAAAACATGATTAAAATAAATAAAGCCTCAAATAAAAAATAAAATACTTCTTAATTATAGTAGTTGCTTATGAGATTGTTGTATTTTTAGTTATCTTGATTCCTCAAATCGTTAATCAGGATCTCCTTGAGAGGAGAGAATTTTGTTTTTGTACTATTTTTTATTCTAGTAACTATCAGTTTAATGCTTGAGTGATTCGTTGGAAATTTACGATGGATTGAGTATAATAAAAGTCGAATATAAAATCTTTTAACTGTCTGAGTGCGATGAACCACAATCGTGGCTTTTGTGGTAGAGCGCGATGGGCCACGAATGTGGCTTTCCATATATGGTCTTATATTTTTGCTTGTTAGCCTATCAGTGCGGGCTAACTGCTATCCAGCTGCTAACCAAATTTTCGAGCAATTTTAATTGCCATTCGGTAGGCTGATGGAAAACTTTACTGTGCTCTCAGAGGTTTAACTTACAATTAGATATTAAAACCTTTTATACAAGTCTGATAACGTTTAAATGGAAATCAAACATAATTAGACAGATAGACGCACGGAAGAATAGAGAACTTGTCGCGGAATAGAGGAATAGTGACCGACCGGAATATATTTCGAAACGCTCCCTAAGTTGATCAATACGTTTCCAGCGAATTGTGAATAATCAGTCATACAACCAGTTTGCTCGTTCTCTACTCTGAAAAAAAAATGGTATAGTATGAAACTTGTGACGTTCTGTGGAACTTACCCATACCAATCAAGTATAGTACGGAACTGCGAAACCTCATTAAAGTTTAGTAATTGAAGAAATTTCATATGATACCCTTCAAGGTTTCGTACTCGAACAGGTTTCATATTATACCTCTTGAAGGTACAGTAGTAATTCCGTGCTATACCTTTCTCTGCGCTACTGTCACATGAGAGGGCGCTTGTTTTTTCCATTTATTACGCTCTAAAAAAAAGTCCATCTTACTCCTATATTGGTCTAACTTTTTTTCTTGCGTCTTATTTGAAGACAGACGAGTCTATCAGTCTTATTTGTAAGACCAAAGACAAAGGTCTTATGTTTCTCGTATATGAAGAACAGAAAATTTAATGAAAATGCAATAGGAATTTTTCCATTTTCCTCTTATAGAATAGTGATAATCGCTAGACCGAAAATACTGGTCTATTCTTATGAGATTAGATCATGAATTATCTAATTTTAAGATTCGAATGTTATAGAAAATAAGACAGATAGATTTATCGGTCTTAAAATAAGACACCGTAAGTCGGTTGACGATTAGTCGCATACATAGGTCTTAAATTAAGACGCTAAGACTCATGTATGCGACTAATCGTCAACCGACTTATGGTGTCTTATTTTAAGACGCATTTTTTGTCAGAGTGCTGCGCTAGCGCAGTGTTCACCATAAGATAACGCTCGTATGTACTCGCTCTGTCCCTAGACTTTAGAAACTTATATCTTCTGATCGTATGCGAACCACCTTCCCTGTCTTTTGAATCAAAGACAACGCTCACATCTCCCTTCAATCGACGTTCGCTACGGGACTATCTGAAATATGTTGTGAATATTTCTCTGATTTGATGTGTAAGCTTCGTAATCTAATGTACATTTTAACAGTGTTCTCGAGACCCTCAAAGAACTCCAAAGGTCTAAAATATTTCAGAACTCATGAAAATGCTTACGCCTTCCTTCGGTCGGCGTGAGCAGCTAGGATAGCTGAGAAATATTGTGAACCTACGAACGTATTCCAGCATAATAGACTATCTATATTCTGTAAGTTTTATTATCCGTAGATGATTTTTTTATGTTATCAAAATTGACTGATCTTTTTCTGGCCTCTCGTTTTTGTGTCTTTGGTAAGGTGATATATTTTTACAGTATATGAAGTCCGCTAATTTTTTTGATAATATTTTATTTTACTTCTTTTTGACAATATCACGCGTATTTTTATTAGACGATGATTTTTTTCTCAAACGATAAATTTTGTGCATGAGTGACTTTTCATTGGCGATACTTGCACTTTTTCGGTTGTTCTTGTTGCTAGGCAGTAGAATTAAATAAATTCAAGACAAATAGGCAAAAAGGAACTATATGAAATCCATACGTGGAATCCGCACAAAACCTCTACGAGTTTATAAGAAACCTTTACGGAACCTTTTTGGGGAAAAAGGTATCGTACAGAACCTAAAAAAGGTTTAAAAATGGTTTCGGTGCTCTAAACCATACAGCTCAAAAACCGGTACGTTTTTCTAAAAGAAGACTAGACATATCGTATAGCTCGTGTTTTAGAAAATAATGTAAAAGGTAGAAATAATTACTGTTCAGTTAATTTTATTTTAATTCGCCAAAATGACAGCTGATGGTACAAACTGAAGTGGGCACTATTTTTCATGGACACAGAATAATTGAATGGACATTCTTTATACATATCTTTATAATATTTTCAAAAAATTTTCTGTTAAGAAAATATGTGACTAAGTTCCTTTTTTCTAATGGCTATAACCGCAATCCTCTGTCTATCATCGTTCTTAAGTTATTCAAAGTATGACTGAGTCGACTGTTTCATTAGGTAGACAGTAGTTCATAATAAAATCCATTTTGTCGACTAATGTGCACCTATCAAAGCTTAAAAAAATGTTTGTGACCTTAATTTTATCTGGAGAATCGAATGTTCAAAGAAAAATGATATCGCGGACACCCCAATAATAATGGAGCTCTTGCTCTCTTCCTCTGAGACATTAGCTCTCTTTTGTGTGTTCGATTTGATAAATTTGAAAAATAAAATAAATATAGTTTAAAAATAAATGATATCGTTATCGTCATATTATGGTGAATCTCGATGACCTCGTCTCTTTGAGTTTTTTTCTCTGTGTATGATAAGACCAGTTGATTAAAGGAAAATGATATCGTCTTTGTCATGTTAAACTTGAATAAAAACGTTTTTTTTCTCTCTCTTATAGGACCAGTGCCTTTTAATATCAACAGCAAATATTTATTTTTCCTCACAAATCAAGATAAAATGTGTTACCTGACAAATTGATATTTATATAAGGAAGATGAATTCATTTAACGCGCTGAATTTCGTATTAGAGAGAGAGAGAAAAAGATATTTTTATTCAAGATGGCGTATAGAGTATATTTTAGTGGTTTACAGAAATAAGTAGGCTAGAACAAGAAGGCAAATTCTGCCCGAATACCGTGTTATCCAAGGACCTTCTGAATGAATATTTTGAATATATTTTCCGTTTATCTTTCTAGATGTCTACTTTATGCCAATTGTTGTTCCTTGTGGTTCTTGCAACGGCATTCGCTCGTTCTGTGAATGTTTATCCTTCGACTTATTGTATTCGTTTTGATACGAATGTGAAGAATGCCATTAAACCTATTATCATAAACATTACCCAAAGTTGGGCACCATTGGGTGCAAATCATTTGTTCGATGTGATCAATTCCCAGTTTTATGCTGTTCCAGCGGCTTTCTTTCGTGTCGTTCCTGGGTTCGTTGTGCAATTTGGAATTAGTGGGGATCCACAACAAAACAAAATTTGGAATGGAACTATTGTTGATGGTAAAGTTAATACACTACAATATTTATCTCATGATTCTACTTACCTGAGTGCATGATATATGATGTCGATGTTTTGTTACTTATGTTAAGTTTTTCTTGGTCTTATTTCCTTTTGTTTAGATCCTGTTCTTATGTCCAATACTGTTGGCACTTTATCCTATGCTACTGCTGGTCCTGACACCCGTACCACTCAGTTATTTATCAATTATGTTAATAACACGCGCCTCGATCTACTGGGCTTTGCACCTTTGGGTAATGTACCACTCTGCTGCATAAAAGCAAATTTTGCTCTTGTATTTCAATATTAACTTTGTGGGTTTTAATGTTGGTGTTTGTCTTTTGTAGGAATTGTCACCACTGGCTTAGACACTGCAAATGCAATTTTTAATCCAACACCAGGTAGAATATTTGTTTCGAGTGCTATACTCCCCAATCATATTGCGGAATGACTATTGCCACCTTCAGAGGTGCCACTAAGAAGCTGTTGCAACTTCAGAAGGCGTCACTAATGACAATTGTCACTATTAGGTGTCAATAACGGCTATTGCCACCTTCTACCTTAGTACTATGCCTGATCGTGTCATAATGCCAACAACATTCAGAGTTCTTTATACTTGTGTGAGAGATGAGGTTTTTCGATCTTTTTGCCTCCAGGATTGATTTATTAGTAGTATGGTGGATAAACCATTTTGTAATATTACTACTCTCTAAAAAAATTTTCGTATCGTACAGAACCAAAAAACCATTTTGCTATCTTCTTCGTTCCTTACAGATGAGACGTAGACGAATAAGGTAGTCTACGATGGAATTGATTTCTTTATCGATGGGATATCGATGAGAGTGAAGTCTGGAACATAGATCCAGTCTTTATTTTTCAAAAGTTTTGACGTCTGTGCTACTCCTCACGCAGACTTTCAGAAAAATTATTTTTTTGCTGATGTTTTCTCGAAATCACATGGACTACATGCAGCATTTCATACTGATGAAAGATGTACCGTTTATACCGACAGCGCTACCATTTTCAATAAGAAAATCATGTTTAACTCTAGATGCCGCTAGCTTGCGCTATATACAACTAGCAGCACTAATTCCTGACAAAAGGATTTGAATAACTAAAAATACTTCAAAACGGTCATGTTTCCTCTTTAAGAATATGTTGTTAAATGCACTTTACCTTCAAGAAAAGACGCCGAAAATCAAAAAACAATCTCAATTTAAGTTCGTGATTTTTCGTCTGAACTATAAAGCAAGTTTCATCCAAGATAAAAATTTTACAAAGTAGACAATCTGTTAACTGAATATTTTTTCAAAAAAAATAAGGATACGCTTTTTTCGAGCAAAGAAAACTTGAAAAAGTCGATTGTCTAGAAAACTCCCAGACATCTAATCATTTTTAAACAATACAAATTGGATACAAAGCGGATATGACAGAGTATCCCGTTGGTTTCAAAATGAGACATTTCCAGACTCTCAGCAGTTTTCTCGCCGAGCTATGCACAAATCTTCAAAGTGCATTGAATAGCCGAAATCTACTGTTTTGCATTCTCTTTTCCAAGACGGATAAACCAATTCATTTTGAAGAATTGTGCATAGTTCAGTGAGAAAACTACTGAGAGCCTGGGAACGTCTCATTTTGAAGCTAAAGGAATGCCTTGTCATATCCGCTCAGGCAAAGACGTCAAAACTTTTGAGAAATTAAGACTTGAACTATGATCCAGACATCACCTTGATCGATTTTCCTTCGATAAAGAAATCAATTCCACCATGGACTACCACACCTACCCACATTCTTATTTCTGTGTCTGTATGTTTTTGTTTTTGTGAACCAATAGGTAGCAGCGATGGTGTTGATCAAGAGAAATACTCGACCAAAGGCAACGCTTGGATCCTTGCTAACTATCCTCAAATAAACTTTATCGAAAAGGCTTCCATCACTTATAACTGCCCCGTTCGTGTCGATCTGTTTTAAACTCACTGACAACCTTGCCGATACTTGAATTTTGGCAACCGTTTTTGTTTTTACACCTGTTGTTGTTTATTTTACCAATCTTAGCAATTCTTATTGTATTATTGTCATTTATTCAGTATATGCGAAAACTTCCTTGTTTGTGGATTAGTCGTTTTGTCTAGCACATACTTGCATGCATATACATAAAAATGTTTGCTATAAGAATGTCTCTTACATTAAAACATCTTAAATAGTCGACTGAGTACATTCGGCTGTGACTTAATTCAAATGACTCTCATGCACAAACGAGTAATAATTTGAAAGCTTACTGTCAACAATAGATATCAGTTTACTATTTAGTACACTTAATCACCATTAACTTATCAATTATAACCTTTCGCAAAAATTGCTTCATGAAAACAAATAATAAAAAATGGATATCAATTATTTTGATCCCCAAAAAGGTGACTTTTGATCCCCAAATTTATTAACAGTGAAATGATTCTCAAAAAATAAGACTTTTGATCCCCGAATCAATTAAAGAAATTTAAATTAAAGAAAAAATATACAACAAAAATACTCACTTTATAGACAACAAAGCTGTACGAACCTTTTTCAGACGACCTTTTCTCTTACCCAATGGTTCACAACGTGTTTTGTCTGTCATCTGGTACATGTTGAATAAAATACCTACAAAATCGTCAAATAATGCCCATGGATCAGCTCGATACAAATCCAACCAAACTGACGTTGTTATTGTTGTCGCGGATGATGAAACATTTTTGTAATGGTATCGTCTATAGTATAGAGTAGATATTTATTTATAACTCTTGTGGGTTGACAAAACCAATGAAATTTCAAAAAACTTTATCGTTCACACTACAATTTCGAAACCGGCAGCTGTTGTTATATTTCATATTTCTTTCATATTTCTGTTCATACTTCTTCTTGTACATATTCTCTTTATATTCTTTTTCTTGTCTGTCTACTAATTAATTAGAAATTAATTTGCTATTTCTTCTTGTATATATTTTCTTTAATTTAAATTTCTTTAATTAATTTGGGAATCAAAAGTCTTATTTTTTGGGAATCATTCCACTGTTAATAAATTTGGGAATCAGAAATCACTTTTTTGGAGATCAAAACACATTTATTCCATAAAAAATAGATAGCCAGTGTGAATTCATGTGAAAACAGAGACTCTACAAATGCCGTTGATCAGTGATGTTGTTGTATTTGTATATAAGATATGATAGCTGGATTCGAAATACGGATAGAATTAGCATCACACTCTCAACAACGATGAGTATGCCTACATAAAAGTCGAATTCTGGTTTAGCTAATGTTCTCAATGCTAAACAACAGCAAAACAGGGCGGTGAGTTTGTTTTTGCGAATTTGATGCTGTTTTTTAAGAAATTCTAGCATCGAGCAGAACTACTCCCCCCTCCATAATCATAATATAAAAAAAGTGTGAATGACAAGTTCATCTTTTATACGAGATTATATTCAAATTAATAATACATATTTATCCTTTTATTGTTTTTCACGACGAGATCGGGAAAGATCGTGTTCCGCATCTTCTACATTTTTCATTCTCACATTATATCATTATACAACAAAAACATCTGCTTCTTGTTATGTAATTTTTTGATTTTTGAGTTTCTCTTTTTCTGTGTTTTATCAATAAATGAGATGAATGGCTTTAAGAAGCCTTTTATACATTAACAGATATTTCGAATAACATATCTGGAATATAAAAAATACTCCTTGACACATGGTAAATCTTCGTATTGTAAAAAGCTTTTTCTTTGCTCTTCTGTTAATTCTTTGCTTTGAACGTTTTGCTTCAGCATTTCTCCTAATTTTTCGAATAATTGTTTTTGATGGTTAACGTTTTTCTCCATTTTGTGACAGCTTCTAAGGACACGTCCGTTCTTGGAAGCAGATGGAAGTTTGAAGTTTATTTTTGCAGAGAGAATCCTACGGGGAAAATGGACCTTGGAAAATGTTGGGATTTACATATTCTTAATTTCTTGCTAAGAATAGGCAAAATGTTAGTAGGTAAGGCTACAAAAATATAGTCGCGTCAGTGTTCTTGCTAGAAGGCTAGCTTCCCCTAGTAAAGATCACGGAAGTTTTCACACTTTTTGCTTCACAGAAGCAACGCTGACAAGTTATTATTATAGGCATTAGTTGACAACCTATCATTCATTTTGTTTTTATAATCCTGTATATTTAATACAACAAATTTTCCACCTTGTATGCTTGAACCACCATCAGATTATCATCTTGCTTTAGGTTTTTTACAACATTTTGTTGCTTCTTACGTAGATCTGTTTTCAGATTTCGTAAACAATTTTCTGGTTTTTTTTTCAATTATGTTTCGAACTTGAGTTATCATTTCTACTTTTTTGACCGATCTTGTTTTATATCACCCACTTTCCATACGCCCTATAACCTTTGCTACATATTTTGTGCGATTGGTTTTAATGGCTAGCATATACGTGTAGACGAATTTCAAAAGATTGTGTTCATCCTCCCTTAGGGTCCTAGTTATTATATCGATAACTCTCGTAGCCGCCTTATCGATACTGATAAAGAAGAATTACAAATGAAATGGTACCAAAAATAGACGGGTATCGGACCAATTTCTAAATTACCATTCAGATCACAGTATATCAATAAAAACAAATACTGTCAAGAACATAATGAATAGAATTTATAAAGCAAATAACAAAAAAATGAGCAACATTTTAAGACACTGGACAACATGTTAATAAAAAGTAATTATCTCAAGAAAATGATTAAACGAAATATAAAAGAAATACTGGTTGTTCAAGATGGCGATTCTATTACGAATGAATACAAAGATGTGGTAATTATATCTATTTCAACTTTGTGTCGGATACGATTAAAAGAAAACTAGCTACATATAAATGTGGAACGTTCGTTATGCACAACAAGTCATTAGGTTACAGTTGAACAAATATAAACAGAGAGCGACGTCTAGACAATTAGCTAAAAACCGAATGGCTATACGTTCAAAGTTTATGGTATATCATGCATTTGTAGTGACTTATATGGAAAAATCTTTGATGGCCAAGCACATTCATGACAGCCTAGGTACACAATTGCGTAATCTACGATAATGAACAGAATAAGTTTAGGAGATGCACAGAAAGAAATTTCTGCACAAAAGAAACCTACAATCAGAACGTGGGTGAGATTTTGTTCAAGTATGAGTTATCAACCATCGAAAAGAAAGAGAACGTAAAGAAAAATAAGTATACACTGGTATTGATATCCATACCGAAAATACCGACTTTCGATTTGGACTTTTTCATTTGAAATGAGATATTTTAGCGTTCTGGACACTCAGAAAGAATCAGAGACACAAAACAAGGGCTTTGTTTGCTTTCTAAAATCAAAGTTTTCCTTTATTGTCTATCTGCACATGCTCAGAATACACAGCTAAGTGTTTTTTGTGTTCTGGCAGTCC